ACATACATCTACATGTATTACACCTTTTCCTATAGTACAGGATGCTACCCACCGTCAAAATGCTGAGCACTATGCCAAAAACCTGTGGGAAATCCTGTTCATGCCACTTGGCAACATGTGCATGTACATGTAAATAATAAATTATTTACATGTACATGCACATTGTAGCATGCATGTTCTTACTTTTGCTTCATAAACAAAAGCATCACATTCACTGTTGTCATAGCAACTAGAAGCCACACCCCCAAACCCATGACTGAAGCTACCAAACTCATTGTCCTATCAGCTCCTGTTGCCATGAAAACTGTATCGGAGAGCATCCTTAAAGAGCAAGGAGGAGAGAGTGATGAGCTACACCCAGAGCTGGCTTGTGTTGCTATGGAAATGCCAAAACCTTTCTTATTAAAGTCAGATACTTAAATGCTCCAATTGCAAGTGGGAGTGTCACTAAAAAGTAGACTCCGCCCAGTGTTGGTTGCTATAGTAACAGTACTGTTAGGTGTCATAATTTCAGGTGTCGTAATCGATAATTTTGATGAGTCAGCACTTTTGTGATGATTACTGGTTGCCATGGTGATGGTGGGTGTGGCTTTGCCAGAGACTGTTGGTGTATTATTATTAGTGATGTGTTGATGAGGTTTATCATCAAATAGCTCTCTTGCCTACAGTACATGTATACACATGTAAAAATGAATAGAAAATAAAATATTAGAATTTTATGTGTGTGTACATGTACATACACGTATTGTCTTTAAAAAAGGCTCCAAAAGTCATGTTTCATAAAAAATGGTTTGGAGATAAAAAGCCACATGCACATGTAGATGTAAAGCTGGGGATGATTCTGATAAATAATAGTAAAAAATAAATACCTGTCTATAAACATTATCTAATAATAGCTCCTGTTCTACAAGTTATTGATGCCTTTTCGCCTCCTTCTCCTCTTTCTGATTCCCTTCACTTAAACTGAAGACACTAACACAAGACAGATCACTGTCTCTTTTAACAACAGTGGGAGGACCCTGTACCAAGAGCAGACAATAATAAAATAAAATAATAAAAAGTATACATGTACATGTACAATGTATATATAAGTTGTACATTAGTTGTTAACTTAATAAATTTAACTTGATTACATTTTTTTAATTAATAAAATATAGTAGATGATACATGTACATTATTATTCTTACGTTTGGCGTCAGGTAGGAAGTGGTAAGCTCTCATTGTGATGGTTTTTCAGTTGCCATGGAGACTGGCGGAGGTGAGAAGGGTGTGGCCAGCCATACCATCTATCACTGATATCATATAGAAACTCAAATACTTATCAGAAACTAAAAAAATAATTATAAAATACCAAAAAAATTGAACATTATTTTTTCCTACATCTACATGTACACTCACTTTTAGTGTTTCAGTTGATGTCATGTGCCATGCTCACTCTAGACGCTCAGGTGACCACTCCCATACCTGGTAATCATGACGACAGGTGAGGAGAAGGAGGTAGGACCCGTTGTGGTTTACTTTATGAAGAGAAGGGAAATGAGAGAAATGGAGTAACATAGACCAGACTAGTGGATGAGATATTGATACATCACTTATCCAACTGGAGGGGGAGAGAGAGAGAGAGAGAAGTGATAAATTAACTAAATATTATTATACATTTACTCTAATTAAATTCTTACATTCCAATTAGTGGTACAGTGCAGACGTGGCTATCACTGCCCAGCAGTAGAACAAGTCTTCGCGTTTCGTTCACCGTCAAAAAACTATTAAATAAAAACCTATCATAAAAATATCAAACGTATACATGTACATGTACAAGTAATTTTGATAGATCATCATTCAAAAATTTAAAAGGAGAAACATACACTGTACATGTACAATGTACATGTAATTGGTAATTATGACATACCCACTCCTAACTCTTCCCTGTAGTACTGAGAGTGGTAGTGCTCCAGTGAGATTGGAGCTGAGGGGAGTTGAGAGAAGAGGGACGGGATACATGGGCGTGGCTATAATGGAGGACGATGAGGGAAGGACACAACCACCTATAATGAGAAAATAATAATTAATGATAATAAATTACATGTATACATGTACAATCAAATCAATGCACATTTTGAATTAAGGTGAACATGTAACTCAAAAAATTTAAGTCGGAATCTTTCTACAAAGCATAAGGACATTAATATGTATCAGAAAATTTAATAAAAGTTTGGGGTAATTTCAAAGCCATTTTTCGGAAAAAACCATGGGCTACAACCTTAGGTGCTTTTCCGAAATTTGGAGTTTTAGAAAATGGTCATAACTCGAAAAATTTCCATAATCAGCTCAAACTTTCTACAGAGCATAAGAACATTAATGTGTATTATGTATTATGAAAGTACATCAGGTTTGTAATTGTAATGTACATCTAAGAAATATTAATAATAACTTACTAATAACACGTATTGATTCATTTTGAATGAATATGCTCAATCTCGTTGACAAAAGGTGATAAAAATGAAGCAGGGTAGTATTACCCTTTTGATATCAAGTTATGATACGTCAACTGATTCTTTTAACTGAATTATGCTATGAAAGAAGTGATCGTCAGTATTAATAACTCCTTTTAATAACTAGCAAAACAATGAGAAAAAATTAAAATTAAGTTACATCTACATGTACACGTAACATAATCTACTACCTCACATTAAATTAAAATACAAAATATGGTGGTGCTGCTGTAATTTTAAAGGGACATACATGAACATGTAAATTGGTACAGCTTATCATCATTAACTGAAACTATATACATGTACATGTACATACATGTATACATGCCATGTACATGTACAAACTTACTGATTTGAAGTTAGTTAAAATAAAAATAAATACCGTAGATCGGGAAATTTTTGTTGTTAAAATATTTTCGCGGATGAAGTGATCCGCGAAAATTTGACACGCGAAATATTTTCTACAGTGAATAATAAAATTACCGGAATTATTCTAACGTGCAGCGGTGCACCCACGAGGCTCTTCTAGTCTTCTAAAAGCCCAAAGAAGGCCTGAAGCTCTCACCCAAGAGGCTCCTTATCAGTTTTAGTACTGTCACGAGCAACTTCCATTGAATAGCTATCCATCGTCATCAAGAGTTAGTAGCCACTTGTGTGGTTTATGACGCGTCCAAAAATTTTTATGTTGAAAAATTTCGCGGATGGGTCAACCAGCGAAAATAAAATACCTTGAAAAAATTTCACACCAATTATTTCTAACATGAAAATTTCCTGATCTACAGTAATAATAATCAATAAAGAAAATTATAATAAATAATACTAAAATAATAAATAATACTAAAATAAAGAAATAATGATAATAATAAACAATTCTCTCTTCAAAAGAGATGGTATCAATAATTATAATTGGCAGACCATACAGTAGGCTAAACTTTTGTACATAACTTATTAAGAAGCTGTAAACGGGAACATTGATATGATCAATTGGAGTAAAAGTTCAATGATAATTTGGACACTGAACTAGTCAACTACACCACAGTATATCTAATAGTCTTAACTTAATTACATGTAAATGAAACTTGTCCAACGACCCTCAACCTCACAACCACCAGATGACTATACTTACAGTAAATAGCTGAAGATGATCTAATGAACAATATTCTAACTAGCCAGTACGAGCCAGCAAGTAACTTTCTTTCATCTTGATCCACTGATGATGATGAAGAACTTTTACTAACATTCTCATCTTCTCAAGAATTGATCGATCTGTCTCCGTATACCTAGATTTACTTTCGTATACTCTAAACTCGTGTTGTCACGTGGAGTAAGTCACGATTGATAGGCTTACCTTTGTATCTCCATACAAAAATACGTCCGCCTTAGAATAGCAGGAGGAGGAGGGAATGATCTGATGAGCCTCTTCTCTCAGAAGTGGAAGATTTAAGTAAATCACATTAACACAGCATTGTGTACTGTCTTCCATCTTTTAGGGAGGAGCTAGCTATGTCAACCAGCTCCACCTTCTTGTTTGGAATTTGCTATGATCTGCTTTTAATTCTCCTCTTACCTTTACCTCTCCTTTTACCTTGTATACAATACTTAAACTAGAGTCAAATGGCTTCAAAACCATCACATTTCCCATTAGGTGAGTCAGATTATTTATAATACACTGATATACATATTTTGTGTACAGATATTAGCAAGTTAAAGTTTGTTTTACAAGTCTTGAGGCATTACAAGTTTCCTGATGCAAGATGGTTTGAATTTGGATTGAATCTTGGTCTGCTTCATCCTACACTGGAAGCTATTGAGTCAGCTCATAGAGGGAATCCTTCACGCTGCCTGATGGAGTGTTTAACCAAGTGGTTGACTAAAGCTGATGATAATGTCACCACTGTTGGTCCTATAATCTGGAAGACACTGGCTAATGCACTCAATGAAATGAATTTAATATCCATTTCTACTGATATTCGCAAAACAAGTAATAGTAGTATTATCATTTTTCTAGCATTTATATCTTTCATTTAGTGGCAGATCCTGTTAGTGAGATATTACAGTGTTATATTGGTAGACTAGCTCAAGTTGTTCTTACTGAGGAATCAGTTGGTCTCTTACATACAGAGGGATTGATATCTAAGGATACATTAACAAAAGTGAAGAGTTGCGGTTGTTCATTGGTAGGAGATCCAATGTTACTAATATTAAGTACTGTAGTTGAAGATCATAGCAAGTTATGTACTCTGACAAGCATTCTAATGAAATCAAAGGAAGCAGTGTCTTTAGCTAGTGATATAATAATGGAATATGGTAAATGAACAGTTTTATAAATGCACTTAACTTATTTATATTCTAATACAATAGGAAAATCACTTCCTTCAGCAGTAACAGTGATGCCATCTTGTCAACAAGCAAGTACTTCAACATCTTCAAGTAATGATATAATGTAACATATATACATTGACTATTATAATAAATACAGGATCTGGACCATTACAAGAGTATAGTAGTGAGACTCAAGTAACTACCAATACTGATGCTACTCCACAAGGTTAGTAACATTGATTATACCCAATTCAATGTTATTACACTATATTATAGGTGTAGTAGAGGTCATAGTTCATCCTGGTTATAAAGCTGAGTTTGATAGAATGGGTGATATGCTTGGTACACTTATTGATGATATTGTTCCTCTCATTAAAGTGACTGTACCTTC